AACTGTGGAGGTCCCCATCAATCAGGATCTGCTGAGTGCAGCATCCTGAAGGAGACTGGGACATTAGCATATATGAGAAAGCATGAAGTTAGTTATACTGAAGCTAAGAGGAAAGTTGAATGTTTGACACACAAACCCGATACTTCCTATGCTGCAGCAGTAACTAACAACACCCATAGTACAAGTGATGTCAGTCAACAGCTTGCAGCTAAAGATAAAGAAATTGCTGAACTGAAACAAACCGTTAAAGAATTGAATATTAAAGTTTATCAACTGACTAAATTGGTCGATCAAATGGTTGCATCATCCCAGCATAAACATCATAGGGAGGATGATACCGAATCACAGTCCGGAGAGCACCTTCCCGTCCGGGCTACTCCTGTGAGGACTTCGTCTGGCTCGCGATCGGCTTCTCGAGGGAGAAGATCGCAATCGGTCAGTCGTCTCCCTCGCCAGGAGGTGCAGGACATGGAGGCTTCTGTCTCCAAACCATCCCATAAGAGGTCCCCGGGAAGCGAGGGAGAGGAGGCGCCTCCCTCCCATAAAAAGAAAATTAGAACTGGTGGACAAGGCACTTCCAAACCCCATAAAACGTAATCTTCGCGTCGATCATTATACAATGGAACTGTCGAAGTATTAGATCTAAAGTAAATGACCTTAAATTATTAGCCTCGTCCTATGCTCCCGATATTCTAGTTCTCCAAGAAACCCACTTAACAGAATTCGTCTCTGACGAGGTTGTTTCGCTGAGAAACTACCATCTGTGTCGGAAGGATCGTGAGGGTAGGGGTGGAGGCGGAGTCGCCATGTACATCCACCACAACCCTCCCTTTTATAGAAGTGACTTTTGATTCTACTTTGGAGTTTGTCGCATGCAAAGTAAAAATTAATGGTACGTATCTGGCTATATGTTCAATTTATTGTCCACCTGATACAGTGATAATCTATGATGAGCTTTGTGCTCTTCAGGAACGTCTGCCACAAAATAAAATATTCTAGGTGATTTCAATGCTCATCATACGTTATGGGGTTCCCGGCGGGTGGATGGTAGAGGTGAGCAAGTAGTTAAGTTGATTAATGAGTCTGATTTAGTCCTTCTGAACGATGGTAGTCCCACACGGGTGGATGATTATACCGGTAATTTGAGCTTTATTGACCTATCACTGGTCTCTTCATCAGTAGCAGCTAAGTGCCTGTGGCACACCGTTGACGACTCGTTGGGAAGCGATCACCTTCCTATTTTGATTGAATATTCATGCGACACAGTGAGAATGCCTTCAACGCCTAGTTGGAGGAACCATTGATGATATAGTTAACAATATTCAGGATTCGATTATAGAAGCAGCTTTGCTATCCATTCCTAAAACTTAGACAGATAGCGTTAAGCATAGAGTTCCATGGTGGACACCAGATTCCCGCAGGGCGCTGTGCCGACGCAATAAGGCCTACAGGCTTTTCAAAAATAACATCACTAATGAGAACTTTTGCAATTACAAACAAGCAAGACCTAAGGCTCGTAGAGTAATAAGACAAGCTAAAAGAGACTCCTGGCGGAGCTTTGTCTCTACAAGAAACAGCAATACCAAAATATCAGAGGTTTGGTCCACAATCAATAAAATCAATAAGAAAAAAACATCTTTCAAAATTAAGAACATCATTGATGAGGGTAACAATTTAGATTCACCTAGAGATATTGCTAATGCACTCGCCAGGCAGTTCTCTCATACAAGTAGCTCAGCAAACTACCATCCCGCCTTTCTGCCCATCAAGGAAGCGGCTGAGCTGCAACCAATTCGCTTTGCCACAGGAGATGACTTTGATTATAATAAAGACCTTACAATAGATGAGCTTGTCCGAGCCCTAGAAGCCTGTAGAGGAACATCCCTAGGCCCCGATGAGATTCGATATGAGATGATAAAGCATCTTAATCATGGTGACATGATTAAGTTGCTAGAAGTGTACAATGAAATTTGGAAAAGCCACACTTTTCCAAACTCATGGCACTTCGCCCACATCATTCCCATATTGAAAGGAGGGGGTAATCCCAAACTTGCCATCTCCTACCGCCCAATTGCGTTGACAAGTTGATTATGCAAGGTCATGGAACAAATTGTTAACAGTAGGCTATTGCATTTCTTAAATTCCAGTAATTTGCTAGTTGACGAGCAGTGCGGTTTCCGAAAGGGACGCCAAACTCTCGATCAACTAGTAAAGCTGGATAGTCATATTCAAGAGGCCATTGCCAAAAAAGATTTTTTGATTTCAGTATTTTTAGACATAGAAAAAGCCTACGACATGACATGGCCTACTCAGACATTTTTGTCCAGGCAAACGGGGTCCAACAAGGAAGTGTCTTGTCACCAACATTATTTCTATGTATGATTAATGACATCTTACCAGCTCCCCCTTGGAATCTTAAATACGTACTGTACGCTGATGATTGTGCATTATGGCACTCCAGCAAATATAGCGCCATGGGAAACCTCCAATTTTTCTATCATGGAAGCCTGGCTTCCATCAGCTAAGGCCATGGCGCCGGACGTGGAGGTACGCCAGAGGTTCAGAGAGATCCTTATTAAACATCTTCCTTTTTTCATTTATATACCGACGGCTCCAAGACAGATGAAAGTGTGGGTGCGGGTGTATGGTCGTCTGAATGTGAACTAAAGTTCAGACTGCCGAATCATACATCGATTTTTCTTGCTGAACTTTTTGCTATAGATAAAGCCATTGATTTTGCACTATCGACGACCCACGATAGAATAGTTATTTTTTCTGACTCACTAAGTTCACTTAAAGCTATTAAATCCTTAGAAACCACTAAAAATGAATTGCCGGGTAATATCATTTGTAAGTTACATGGTGCCAACAAATCAATCAAGCTAATATGGGTGCCAGGTCACTCTGGTATCCATGATAATGAGCAGGCTGACAAACTAGCCGGGTCACCTGGCGATCTGGACACTACCATAGTTCGTACAGATCTCAGGTGTTTTGTCTCTTATAAAAGCAAAAATACATCTGTGGCAAAGTGAGTGGACCAACCTAAACATACACAACCAACATAAAACAATAATAGAACCATGGGCCACAGCCCACAGAAAAAATAGAAGGGAGGAGGTGGTGTTGGCACGCATGAGACTCAACGCCACAAGATTAACACACCTCACTCCATACGTTGAAAGAAGATTCCCTCCAAGGTGCCCCCATTGCACCATCCATCTTACTATTACACACTTTCTCATAACCTGTCAAAAATTCAACCATAATAGACAAAATTTAAAAAATTACTTCAGACATAAAAACCTACCATTCACAACATCAAATCTATTAGCAGATAATGGAAAAATGATAAATAAATAATCACTTTTTTAAGGGAGACAAAACTTTATGACCTTATATAGATTGATAGAATAAATAGGATCCATTGGCTTAATAACCTTGGCCCCATGCCGCTGGTTGATAGCCAAGAAATACAACAAAGAAAGAAGAAAGAAAGAACTCGTGGTCGAAACTCTGTCCGAGCGACACCTAGTTAAAAACGCAGAAGCAATAAACAATAAGTCTTGTGCCACTTAAGCTACCCTGGAGCCCAAGGCCTCTCGTCTCGCATGACATTATTGTTTCTGAGTTCATAAAGTAAATAAAGTAACGTAAATCCTGTAATTACAGATACTAGTGCTTTGCCAGCACCATCAGTGCTTTGTTTTTGCAGGTGACACGAGGCTACAGTAGGCGTAGTCAGCACCCCACCTCAGACCCACAGCTCTCTTCTACACCAGGGTAGCCCTTGTGGCTTTAACCCCTGGGTAGGGAGGCCCAGTAGTCTGGGGCGTCATTTGGGCGCACTTTTTCTTATTTTCTAATTTCTTTTCCTCATAATGTGACTTCCCTGAGCCTACCGGAGTTCCTCGTGAACTCCCGTATTCACTTGGGGGATGGGCATTGAATTACCGTCCTTCGCCTAGGCAAGATTATGGGTCAATCGTGTATGGTTCGGCATCGAGAACAAGTTTGAAAGGTTTGGATGCTGTGAAGAATGCTTGTTTGCGTGTGTGTGTGGGAGCCCTAAAATGCACTCGGATCGAGCGTCTTGAGGTGGAGTAAGGAGTACCTCCCCTCCGACTCAGACGCGGCCAGTTAGCCCTGAGCTATGCCGCGAAGGTGGCTCGAGACCCGAACCACCCTAATGGCAATTGAGGCACTAGGCCCTTTGCCACGAGACTCCACGACCTCGTCGAGAAAGTCGGTATAGATCTCTCTACTATCGATACCCTGGTTCATTCAAATATAGCGCCATGGGAAACCCCCCAATTTTTCTATTATGGAAGCCTGGCTTCCATCAACCAAGGCCATGGCGCCGGACGTGGAGGTACGCCAGAGGTTCAGAGAGATCCTTATTAAACATCCTCTTTTTTCATATATATACTGACGGCTCCAAGACAGATGAATGTGTGGGTGCAGGTGTATGGTCGACTGAATGTGAACTAAAGTTCAGACTGCCGAATCATGCATCGATCGTTCTTGCTGAACTTTTTGCTATAGATAAAGCCATTGATTTTGCACTATCGACGACCCACGATAGAATAGTTATTTTTTCTGATTCATTAAGTTCACTTAAAGCTATTAAATCCTTAGAAACCACTAAAAATGAATTGCTGGGTAATATCATGTGTAAGTTACATGGTGCCAACAAAGCTAATATGGGTGCCAGGCCATTCTGGTATCCATGGCAATGAGCAGGCTGACAAACTAGCCGGGTCAACTGGCGATCTGGACACTACCATAGTTCGTACAGATCTCAGGTGTTTTGTGTCTCTTATAAAAGCAAAAATACATCTCCTGTGGCAAAGTGAGTGGACCGGCCTCCAACTCACCAACAAGATTCAAGAAAATATAGAACTGTGGGACACTGCCCACAGGAAAATCAGAAGGGAGGAGATGGTGTTGGCCCGTCTCAGGGTCAATGCTACCAAAATCACCCACCTCACTCCCTATATAGAAAAAACATTTCTCCTTAGATGCCCTCAAAGTACCACCATCCTCACAATTAACCACCTTCTAACAATATGCCCAATATACACCAACCAAAGACAACAAGTAAAACAAAATCTAAGGATAAAAAACATAGATTTCACAACACCAAATCTATTATCAAATAATGAAAAAAATAATTAGTAAAGTAATCACTTTTTTAAGGGAGACAAAACTTTATGACCTTATATAGATTGATAGAATAAATAGGATCCATTGGCTTAATAACCTTGGCCTCATGCCGCTGGTTGATAGCCAAGAAATCCAACAAAGAAAGAAAAGAAAGTTGATGGTATTATTTTTAACAGCAAATTACAATAACGTCAAATATTTTCGTAGATCGAGACAGGGCGAGACAAGCAGTACTCGTAATTGGCTCACTAGTGACTTAGTAGTGTAGCCATCTATGTGTAAAAACAATCGAACAAGTCGATTCACAGTGGGCATGGCATGTACATACATGCCATCCCCGGCGGCAATGGGCTAATATTCGTTTGTTCCTTTCTCTTCTGAGGTGTAACTTAAAATGGCCTCTGACTCTTCTATGGTCGCTGCCAGCTTTTACTTACAATTTCGTTTTTGATGTTAGATGGCGACTTCCAAGTCCATTTCCGTCTTTTTTTTCTTAGTGCCTATTCCGTAAATCACCATTATGTTTTCTCCTGTCTTTTTACCTATTTTGGCATTAAAATCTCCCATGATTATTGTGAAATGCTTTTTACTCTCTCGCTGGCTATAAATATACATAATTATAAATATGTATATAAATATGTATATTTTTTGTGTGCATAATTATATGAATATATATATATATATATATATATATATATATATATATATATATGTATATATATATATATGTATATGTATATATATATATATATATATATATATAAAGCACACACACACACACACACACACACACACACACACACACACACATATACACATACACATACACATACACATACACACACACACACACACACACACATACACACACACGCGCATATGCGCAAACACCAAAGATAGACTCACACACACACACACACACACACACACACACACACACACACACACACACACACACACACACACACACACGCTCACACACACACACACACACACACATATATATATATATAGAGAGAGAGAGAGAGAGAGAAGGGGGAGATAAGAAAAAACTGAACTACAACACTGTCAGGGAAAGAGAACCAACAACACTGATTTTGTGGAGCTGCATTCATTACTACCCAGATACTCCAGTTCAGTGCATGACCTTTCATATATATCCACTGCATGCTCTTTGCATGATGTTTATTACTTACCACACGTATATGAACCCTTACGGGTACGTTAAGAAAAATAGAGCAAGTATGCCAGTGATTTAAGTGCATTGTATATATATATATATATATATATATATATATATATATATATATATATATATATATATATATATACATATATATATATATTTATTTATCTTTTTAGTTATTTATTTATTTCCGTTTTTCCTTTTCTACTCTTTTCCCAGTTAACTATTTAATCAATCATAACGTTATATAATGTTTTCATTAATCATTTCTAGCATAAAGACAAGAATATTACTTGTTCAAATTACAGAATTCAGATGAAGTTGAAGTATCGAACTGTCAATGTCATTTCTTGCATTCTGACGGCATTCCTTCCAGTTCTTACTTGTTTTCAAAGGAAAATACAGAATGAATGTAGATTCAATGATCCTTTCAAATTTGTAGGTTATAATGAACTGATGAAAAGTGAATGAAAGCTTACATTTTGATTATAGGTTATTTCCTGTCATTGTTGACAGGTACAATGTTAAAGCTACAACGAGGGAAACATATTTGTTTTGAGAGATTGGGTAATTTCAGATTTATGTTAAAGACACTTATTCTAATACATACATCTAATGAAATACTTTCGTAAAAATGTGCTGTAGGTTTGACATTACATCTGACCTATGACCTGTAACCTCAAAGCTACTAGCTCTATACTTACTGAGGGAAGGAGTGATTTTTTTCAGAACCAAACTTTGCACAGTTTGCCCTAGCCAAACCTACATTTATTCAAAATTTAAACCTTACCAAACATAGACCAAACTGGATTTAATCTCCGCTGAAATTAAACTAACCAAATCTAAGAGAAACAAATCAAGCCCCAAATTAACCAATATATCATCATCTAGCATATGTCCTAGAACAATGATTGAATACTGAAGGAAAACTAAATAGATTATCATTTCCTGACATTTTGCTCATCACTAAGCATAACTAGTTCGCTATGTTCACCATTCTCCGCTGAGAGCTCTTGTTCAGCAGAGATCTTTTCTCTGTAGTTCCAGGGCTGGACGGAACCGGAGCTGAAGGCGAGGTAAAATACCTCCGTGAGGGCGTACATTGGGACGCATGTCCAAAAGACTTTCTGCCACTGACCAATGGTTTG